TCTTAACCTGAGGTACTATTTCTGGGTTAGTAGTCTGTAACCTGAAGCATATGTAACCTGAAGCATATAAGTGTTAGGATAACCTATTCCAGTATTACAGTTCTGTGGGTTTCCTGGGAAGAGGGATCACACTTCAAAACGACCTTGACAGATTAGAGAACTGGGCCAAAACAAACAAGATGAACTTTAACAGGGAGAAATGTAAAGTATTGCACTTGGGCAAAAAAATTGAGAGGCACAAATACAAGATGGGGGACACCTGGCTTGAGAGCAGTACATGTGAAAAGGATCTAGGAGTCTTGGTTCATCAAAAAATTGACACGAGCCAACAGTGTGACGCGGCAGCTAAAAAAGCCAATGCAATTCTGGGCTGCATCAATAGGAGTATAGCATCTAGATCAAGGGAAGTAATAGTGCCACTGTATTCTGCTCTGGTCAGACCTCACCTGGAGTACTGTGTCCAGTTCTGGGCACCACAGTTCAAGAAGGACACTGACAAACTGGAACGTGTCCAGAGGAGGGCAACCAAAATGGTCAAAGGCCTGGAAACGATGCCTTATGAGGAACGGCTAAGGGAGCTGGGCATGTTTAGCCTGGAGAAGAGGCGGTTAAGGGGTGATATGATAGCCAGGTTCAAATATATAAAAGGATGTCATATAGAGGAGGGAGAAAGGTTGTTTTCTGCTGCTCCAGAGAAGCGGACACGGAGCAATGGATCCAAACTACAAGAAAGAAGATTCCACCTAAACATTAGGAAGAACTTCCTGACAGTAAGAGCTGTTCGACAGTGGAATTTGCTACCAAGGAGTGTGGTGGAGTCTCCTTCTTTGGAGGTCTTTAAGCAGAGGCTTGACAACCATATGTCAGGAGTGCTCTGATGGTGTTTCCTGCTTGGCAGGGGGTTGGACTCGATGGCCCTTGTGGTCTATTCCAACTCTATGATTCTAGGGGTTACTTGTTAAACCACTCTGGGATTTGCAGCCCTAAAAACACTCAGCACCCGCAGCAAACTACAATTCCCAGGATTCTTTGGCGGAAGCCATGACAGTGGTACAGTACAGACGGTGCCTTGGCCATGTCTACTAATTCCAGTGGGACTACTCTGGGTAGGACTAACATTAGAGAAAGTGCTATAGGTCCACTTAGCTGGATCCAACCCTTGTTACACAGGGGTGAATGTGGAATTCGTTTTTGGCGTAAAACTGGGCATCTCTGAACACCGTGCCATCCATTTGTGTTATAGTACGACTCGTGCAACACGTTGGCGACTAATATACACACCATAATTACCAAAATAATTATTACATTCTTTATCAATCTTCTGAGAAAAATGCAAAACATTATGCAAAGCTAGAGACATGCGAACCACCCAACCTAAGATGAACTTATGATGTTTTGATTTCAGTGGATTTTTCAAGTGCTTATCCATTTGTGTTACGGCTTTCTGTTTCGTTAAACAAAAACAAAGAGCTGAAGTTCCCAGTCCTTAAGATTTTGGGAAATAAGTTTAGGCTCCAGCCTGCAGGAAATTGAACAGGGCCCCCGAAGTGGCGCTTCAGAACTCAGCTGAGCTCCTTGTTCCTGATCCCCTTCCCAAAGAATGGTAGAACAAAGTATATATATTTTGCTATGACGAAAATCTATCTCATTCTGGGAATGGGGAAATAGCCATTGAGTGGGATGGCATAGGGTTTGGCTCCCTCGGCTGTATGCAAGAGTCCAAACTGGCTGTGACGACGCAGGTGGTTGAATGCATTTCTTCAATAAGGTAAAGGTAAAGGGACCCCTGACCATTAGGTCCAGTCGTGACCGACTCTGGAGTTGCGGTGCTCATCTCGCTTTATTGGCCGAGGGAGCCGGTGTTTGTCCGCAGACAGCTTCCGAGTCATGTGGCCAGCATGACTAAGCTGCTTCTGGCGAACCAGAGCAGCGCACGGAAACACCGTTTACCTTCCCGCTGGAGCGGTACCTATTTATCTACTTGCACTTTGTGCTTTCGAACTGCTAGGTTGGCAGGAGCTGGGACCGAACAACGGGAGCTCACTCCGTCGCGGGGATTCGAACTGCCGACCTTCTGATCAGCAAGTCCTAGGCTCTGTGGTTTAACCCACAGCGCCACCTGCGTCCCCATTTCTTCAAATATATATATATATATATATATATATATGCAGGTTTTGGTGTCCTCGGGTGTCTTCCCGTGTAAAAGTTGGGGTGTCTAGGCGACGTTTCGACGAGGTCTCACTCGTCATCTTCAGGCTGGTGCTTTCGGCTTCTTGTTACTGGAACAGAGCAGGATCTCAGTGTTTGAGTTCCTATAAATACTGTTGAGGGGGTGTGGTGTATAGCCTCCAATGTTCTGGGCAGAGAGGAAGTTCCCAGGTTAGTGTGCCTTTTCTTCTTTTGTTCCTTAATTACTTGAGGGATATCTTGAGTGATTTCTTGAGTGATATCCTGAGTACCACTTAGGTGGGTCATTAGGTGTGGATTAGTTGCTAAAGCCTTCGTGTCTTGACCTCTTGAACTTTGTGAAGAGTTTTTCTGAGAAGATGGGCTGTACTGCACTTAGTTGTGCTCTGGCTTGGCTTCGTGTATAGGGGCGAGCTGTGGTTTTGTGTCCTGTGCCAGCCAGATCTGTGTAGGGATTGCAGGGGGGGTGCAGCATCCGGAGGTGCCACCATGGTTTGGCTACTGGATGGTGTCTGTAATTTATCTGTGGAGAGGGTCTGGGTTTGGGTCTGGTGTGGTTGATTGGTGATGGCGTTCTGTGTGCCTCTGGATCTGGTGTCGGTTTTTGTGGGGAGGGCTAATTTCCAGATGTCTGGCAGGCGGGATGTGTCGTCACGCTTGTTCATGTTGTGAGGGTGTTTCTCTATCTCGATGGCTTCCATGATTATTCTCTTGTGGTGATGTTCCATGTTAGAGAGCAATTTGGAATCTGCAAAATTAATTTCGTGTCCTGTTTCTTTCATGTGTTGGAAAAGAGAGGAAGTTTTTTCTTCTTTTTGACGGCATTCTTGTGTTCTGCGATACGTGCATTTATTCGTCTGTTTGTTTGTCCAATGTACGTGGCTGGGCAGACTTTGCAGGGTATTTCATAGACCCCTTGGTTTTCCAACTGGATTTTATCCTTGGGGTTTCTGAGGATATTGGCTATTTTTTGGTTGGTGCAAAAGGCTGTTTTGATATTGTGTTTATGGAGGATTTTGCTAATTTTATCTGTAGTGCCCTTGATATAAGGAAGGAGGGCCATGCCATTGTTTTCTTCTGTGTCTTGGTTTTTGGGGGGTGTTTCTTTTTGCATTAGCTTCGTAACCCTGTTTTGCTGGTATCCATTGGCGATTAACACCCCCTCAACAGTATTTATAGGAACTCAAACACTGAGATCCTGCTCTGTTCCAGTAACAAGAAGCCGAAAGCACCAGCCTGAAGATGACGAGTGAGACCTCGTCGAAACGTCGCCTAGACACCCCAACTTTTACACGGGAAGACACCCGAGGACACCAAAACCTGCATTCCTGTACCCGTGAAAATCTACGAAAGCATATATATATATATATATATATATATATATATATATATATATATATGTGAGATTATTATACACCAGGGCTTGTTTCCCATTGAGGCAGCTGGTTTGGCCACTGTGAAAGCAGGAGGCTGGACTGAGATGGGCTTGATCCAGCAGCAAGGGTCTTCAGGGTGCCCACTTTCCTCTTCACAACAATCCTGCGTGGTAGACTTAAGCTGGGAAGACGCTGACCAGCCCCCAAACTTCCCTGGGAGTTTTCCAAATGGCCAAGGAAGGGTTTTGGCAGCGTGTCCTGCCTGCTGCTCCTCTGCACAGGCCGTCCTGTCCTCCTCCTGCACTCTCCTAGGTCGTCTGCCGCACAATCAGATACGTGCCTTGTTTGGCTTGCAATGTTCCAGTTCGTGTACTCTCTGGCGCGTCCTGGCCTTGGGGCAGATGCTGTTCCTGCCGTCCCTGGCTTTTCGGCTGCTCTCGCCTCTGCAAGCAGGATCTGTGCTGATCCCCTTTGCCTTTGCAATCTGCTCGTTTTCCAGCTTCCCTTTGAACGAAATCCCCTCTGATTTTTAATCCTTTAATGCTGTTTGCAAAACCGCGGTTTGAGCACGTTTCTGCGAGGTTCCTCCCCCCCTCCTTTATATAAAGTTCTGCCTGGGTGGGGAACCTCAGGCCCAGTGAGCCAAGGGCGGCCCTCCAAGCCTTTCTATCTGGCCCTTGGAATATTTCCCAGGCCACACCCCTCTTCCCAAGCCACGCCCCTCACTGGCCCTGCTTCCTATCTCAAAGTGTGTTTGCCTGGCAAGAAGGTGTCCTCAAAATCTGGTCTTACCTCTTGTACAGAAAAGTAAGTTTTTTTCCCGTGCCAAAATGCATCACTTTACACTTGTTGAAGGCATCTCTGATGAAGGAACAGAAAGCAATAGTGCCTAAAGGGTGATGTGGCTTCCTATGTGGGTGGATTTTGACATTTCAGTTTCACTCTGCCTTACACAGTGGTACCTCGGGTTAAGTACTTAATTCGTTCCGGAGGTCCGTTCTTAACCTGAAACTGTTCTTAACCTGAAGCACCACTTTAGCTAATGGGGCCTCCTGCTGCCGCCAGGAGCACGATTTCTGTTCTCATCCTGAAGCAAAGTTCTTAACCCGAGGTACTATTTCTGGGTTAGTGGAGTCTGTAACCTGAAGCATCTGTAACCTGAGGTACCACTGTATTTATCTATATGTATCTACAAGCGATACAGAACAACACAGTGCTCTGTATGGTGCCCTCGTGATGTGAGACTACAACTCCCATCAGCCCTGCCAGGATCTTCAGGGATAAGCGTAGTTCGGCAACACCTGGAGCTCACCTTATTGGCAATACCAGCTTTAAAGTAATATTTGTGAGCCACTCCAAAAACTCTCGAAAAAGCGAACTCCAAAACTTGGTGATACTTCTGAAGCCGGATGTTGCACCTTTCTGTTCCCTTTTTTAAAAAAAATAGCTTGTGACACTGATTTGTCCTAATATAGGTATTGCCCACCTGTGGATTTAGGTAAGTTAAAGTGTCTAGAATTGCAGCCAGTGTTAGAAACTCAGATATATAAGCTAGGCACCAAATCGCACCTTAGTCTAGGTTACAGTTGTCACAACGGAATGTTTATTTGCCAGAAGGGATGGACTAGATGTCACTGGGATCACTTATAATGCAACACTGCTTGAATATAGCCTGCTCTTACATTTCATTTGTCCCAGCATGCAAAAAAAAAAAAAGCAGCACACACAATGGAAATGGAATTAACTATGGACTAAGGCAGAGGTTTTTAAACTGTGGTCGCCAACCTGGCGCCCAAAAATCTTCATGTAATTGCAACTGGACCCTCCCGTGCCAGTAGCGAAACCCGCCTGCGGAATTTCAAATACCGATTGCAGCCTGTCTCTCTTTATAAGTCTCCACTTGTTGTTTGGGGCTTGTTTCGTTAGATGGGTATAAAGATGTGGAAAAAAAGAAAACAAAACCAATTATTTAAGAAAAAGGCACTTTGCACATGCTCAGCGGTTATTTCTTTGAACTAGACCTCACAAATGTAATCAGTGATAATAATTTATATACCGCTTACATGCCCCAAGGAGCTTCTAAATCGGCTTACAGGTTTAAAATCAATACCATTACGTTTCTAACCTCGCACCAAATTAAAGTATGCGCCAGTCTCCCAAAGCCTAGTCCGCGCAGGGCACGGCGGGAGAGGTAGTTCCCGCTGCCCCTGCTTGGGCCGGCGCCTTATGGACGAGAGGACTCCACCTCCCGTCGTCCCTTGCGGCGGAGCGCTCTCACCACTATCATTGCCCGCGCGGGGCGCGCCGGGAGCCGTAGTCTCGCCGCCTTCCCTCGGCCGCGCGCGCCGCATGTCGGCGAGGCAAGTAAACAAACTCGCTTTCCCGTCGTGCACCGCGGCCGAGCTCACAGAGGGAGGGAAGGCCGCGGCCCCGCCGCTCCTCTCACGGGCCGGGGAGGGTTGTGAGGAGGAGGAGGCGGCGGCGGCGGACCAAGATGGCGGCGTCGGGCTCCGGGGCCGCGGCGGCGGCGGCTGCGGGAGCCGGACCGGGCTCCTCCTCGTCGTCTTCGGGCGGCGCTGCGGCCGCGGGGGGCGTCGTGGCTGCGTCGGCCGCGGCAGCCGCCGCCGCGGCGTCCAACCCCCGCAAGTTCAGCGAGAAGATCGCGCTGCAGAAGCAGCGGCAGGCCGAGGAGACGGCGGCCTTCGAGGAGGTGATGATGGAGCTGGGCACCACACGGGTAAGGAGGACGACGACGAGGAGGGAGGACCGGACGGGGCACGGGGAAGGCGAGGGCGAAAGGCCGCCTCGCCGCCCGCCTGCCCCTCGGCCGGTCCGTCCCTGAGGGGGCGCTGCGGAGGAATGGGGGAACCGACTTCCGGTGAGGGGTAGATATATGGGGGTAGCGACATCCGGTCTTGGGGGTGGGAGAACGGGGTGGGAAGGGAGCCAATGACGGGGCGCCGACTTGGGAATGGGAGGGCGTGGATTGGTTGAGGTCCTGGGGTGCAGCATCAGTTAAGGATGGGTGGGGAGGGGGGAACCCGGGTGGTGGGGATCCAATGGCAGAGTTGGATGGCGTGGATTGGACTAGGCGGGTGTGAGGTCATGGGGGCATCCTCAGTTGAAGATGGGCGTGTGAGATAAGGTGGTGGTGATGACGTTGGGTCTCTTGGAGGAAGAGATGTTGAGTCTTAAGTGCTTAAATGGGTGAAAGGGAGAGGTAGTGGGGGGGCTTGTCTTGGGGTCATGGGGGGTCATAAGGGGAGGGGGTGCTGAGAGAGGTCATTGAAGCTCCTTAGGGAAGATGGTGGCGGCTGTAAGGATGTGAATTGGCGGACACACTGTTTTGGGTGCTGTCTTATTTATCTATTTTCTAATAGATAAATGAGGGGGACGCGGGTGGCGCTGTGGGTTAAACCACAGACTAGGACTTGCCGATCAGAAGGTCGGCGGTTCAAATCCCCGCGACGGGGTGAGCTCCCGTTGCTCGGTCACTGCTCCTGCCAACCTAGCAGTTCGAAAGCACACCAGTACAAATAGATAAATAGGTACCATTCCTGCGGGAAGGTAAACGGCGTTTCCGTGCGCTGCTCTGGTTCTCCAGAAGCGGCTTAGTCATGCTGGCCACGTGACCTGGAAGCTGTCTGCAGACAAGCGCCGGCTCCCTCGGCCAATAAAGCGAGATGAGCGCCGCAACCCCAGAGTCGATCACGACTGGACCTAATGGTCAGGGGTCCTCTTTACCTTTTTAAAAGATAAATACGTGGGTCTCTTCCTCCACAGTAACCCTGTGAGTTAGGTTAGGCTGAGAGGCAGTGACAGGCCCAAAATGACACAGTGAGCTTCATGGCCAAGTAGGTATTCGAACCCTGGTCTCCCACGTCCTAGTCTAACCCCTGCACCAAACTCCTTGCCTCAGGTCCACCAACGGCATGCAACCCACCCACCCCCAGGAAGGTTACCCACTATATTTCTTATAGTATATTCTCTTGCATTACAATTTGAATTCTGTGGAATTCTCCAGTTCATTGCCCAATCGATGGAGTTCTGTGGAATTCAAATTGCAATTCAATAAAATTCATAAGAAATACTATTAAGGAATCATCCAGCATCCAGCATAGCACATTACGATTGCCACAACAGGCAGGAAAACCATTAAGTGGTCTGCTGAGACCCTGAGCCATTTTTAAGTGGTCTGCTGGGATGAAATGTTTGGGAATTGCTGGCTTAGGATGTAAATGAGGGTGGAACTGTCTGTAGGAGAGCAATGGCTTGAGAGTTGGCTGCGAATGAATCAGGTCATGGAGGGACCTTATCTAGGGGTATGGCCTTGTGTATTTGAGGTGGGCGTCATTAGTGGGCCACTGCAGTGTAGGGGACTTGTGGAAGAGTAGTATTCTCAGGGCTGAGGGTTCCCATTTCCCCCAAGATCAATGTTAGAACTGATGAGACCATTGTTGAGGCACGCTGTTTAGGGAAGGGGGGTGGTCATTGGAACACTCGCATAAGGAAAAGCAAGGGAGAAGGAGAAGTAGAGAATAGGGAGAGTTTGGGCTGATTGGGGAATGCCATGGGGCACTCCATAGAGGAGGAATCTGGGGGAGGGATGTACTGTAATAGGGGAGGTGGGCTTGATGGGGACACCACTGTGTTTTACAGTATAGAATGCTTAACTGCTGAAATCAGCTACAGATTTTGATGAGCATCAGTGTAAATCTTCCCCACAGACTGGAACATAGGAAGCTGCCATCTACTGAATCAGATCATTGATAAATCTTGCTTAGTGTTGACTACCCTGCCTGGTAGCAGCTGCCCAGGATTTCAAGCAGAGTTCTCTCCCAGTCTTACCTGGAGATGCCAGAGATTGAACCTGCAAAGCAGATGTCCCTTCCCTTGGATAGGGCAAACTGGTCTATCTAACATGGGCAGAGAGATATAAAGTGTGCACAGGTGTATTAACCATGAATTGCCATTCACGGAGGGATGAGGTTGTCAGACCTAAGCAGCATAGTGAGACCAAGCTTCAGGCCTCGCTGGCAGAAAGGGGACTTGATGCCAGTATCTCTGGGTTACTCAGAAATCTCTCCCGTCCTCAATATTTTAACAACTGAATATCCTAAGCTGAACATGTCAAAAGTGGCTCTTATACATTGAGTGGAGACTCTCTGGTCTTCTGGATACTGCCTCATCAGCCCCACCCAGTATGGCCGACAGGCAGGACTGATGGGAGTTGTAGTCCAGCAATATCAGGGCGGCAGGTTCCTCCACCCCCTCTCTAACAGAAATCCTCTTGCTTGAGTTTTCTCCTAGCATTGTTTTTGGGTTTCCAGGAATGAGGCTGTCCTGAAAGACTTGCTGAGGTCGTTGGTTCATTCTTTTATGTCCCTGCGTGATTCTCTCCCTGATTGTGATTAGGGCCTTGAAATGTGGTGAACATCTGGAGATACATAACCAACTAGGAAACATTATTTCGACTATTGGCTTTTTTTTTTTTAAAGTTTTGCTTTGAACGATGCTTGGGGAGTATGCTGATAAAGTCGTCGTCTTCTCTCTGGCTTCTGCAGTGCTCGAGGCAAAATGTTGGGCAGGTCCCCCCCTCTTCTTTTCATTCCGCAGATCTGGAACAATCTCCCACGGGAAAGAGGGGGAAAGTCTGCTCCCCGGAGATGGTTAAAATTAGATTGGGCAAAGGATGAGAAAACGCAAAAACAGCGGCCTGGCCTCGGCGGGGGTGGAGGGGCACATTGGATGCGGCTGTCTTGGCGAGTTGAGTTGGTATCACTTGCCAAGGTTGGGTCAGGCTGGAGCCCTGGTGGATTTCTGTGCCCGGAGTCTACCTGGAGTGTGTATTACGCACCCTTGGATCTGTACAGATTTGGGGACTTGAGAGTGGCACTCAGGAAGTGCTTCTCTGTTTCCAGCGAAGGCTTGCCATGTTAGATCAAGCCTGGAAGGCCACACCTGCACCATCCACTACGATACCACTTTAAACAGCCATGGCTTTCCGCAAAGGATCCTGGGAGCTGTAGTTTATCAAGAATTCTGAGAGTTGTTAGGAGACACCCCACCCCCAGTTCTCCTCAAGAGCTACAATGTCCAAAATGGGTCAACAATCAATCCCTGTTCCCAGGGAATGGTGGGAATTGTAGCTCTAGGAGGGAAATGGGGAGTGTCTGCTAATGACTCTTGGCGCCCTTAGCAAACTACAGTTCCCAGGATTCTTCATCCTTTCGACTTAGGGTGACTTCCCAGCGTTTGGCCCTTAGGTTGGAGGATCCACTGAGAACATCACTGGACAGGTCAGAGGGAGAAATGGAAAACTCTTTGGGAGGCCTGCCTGAGCTGTCCAGACACCTGAGAATTAATTTAGATGGATTGTTTTTCTCCATTGTGTAGGAGCTTGTTATAATTTACATAGGGTTGTATCCAGCATTACATCTGCGCAGAGTAAGGCCACTGAAATGAAGACATGAACAGACATGACTAACTTTGCTCCATTGATTTCAGTTGGTTTTCCCTGAGTGGAAATTAATTGGATTCAGCCCACTCTTTTTCATAATGACATCCCACATATATGCGAAGTTTGTTTGACTTCTGCCGAACCACATTTGTGTGAATCGAAATGGTGTGATTGACAAGCTGGAACATGTGCAGAGGAGGGTGACCAAGATGATCAAGGGTCTGGAAACCAAGTCTTATGAGGAACGGTTGAGGGAATTGGGTATGTTTAGTCTGGCAAAGAGGAGATATGATAGCCATCTTCAAATATCTCAAGGGCTGCCACATGGAAGATGGAGAAAGCTTATTTTCTTCCACTCCGGAGGATAGGACCCAAACCAATGGCTTCAAGTTACAAGAAAGGAGATTCCAGCTAAACATCAGGAAGCACTTTCTGACCGTCAGAGCTGTTTGACAGTTGAATGGACTCCCTCGTGAGTTGGTGGGCTCTCCTTCCTTGGAGGTTTTTGAGCAGAGGTTGGATTGCCGTCTGTGATAGATGCTTTAGTTGAGACATTGCAGGAAGTTGGACTAGATAACCCTTTGGGTCCCTTCCAACTCTATAATTCCATGAAGTGTGCATGTGTTATGGGGAAGGGAGGTGAATCAGTAAACTTTGACATGGAAGAGATGTCCTTTCCCCTAAGGAACAGCAGACGTCTGTTGGCTTCTGCCAAGGTCTTTGAGATATCAACAGCTGCTCCTCCCCTTTCATCATCTCAGACCTTTTTGCATGCCTAGCAATCCACAAAAAGGAAATTTTTTTTTGAAGGCTTCCATGCTTAAAATGCCCCGAAGCAAAGTTGTTGAGAATGAATAGGAACATAAGGAGAGGGTCTGCTGGTCCATCATCCGGCATTCTCTCAGAGGCCAACCAGATGCCCTGA